TATCTCGTCGTCGAATTATTTTCCCATGCCAATCCGAGTTTACAAGGAAAGTAGATTTTCATTAGCGCGCCAGTCGTCGCTTCTCGTCTTAAATTACCTCGAAATTGCAAAAGCCCAGGCGGCTTCGAAAACTTAGGCTAATTGTTCGGGATTGCGAATGCGCGATTCTTTTCTACCTTCTCTCACTTTCTCGCGTATTTCGCATTTGCATAGCTGGCTCATTGAAAAACCAAGCGAGACCCGGGTCCGGCACAATTTTCAGCCTTAAGGGCGATCGATGCTTAAGTTGAAAATGATTAATGGGCGCTCGGTTGAACGCGGAGACAAAAATAATTAATGCAAACTTTGGGAGATACACAGAGACAAAGTTGTAAGTAATAAGACAAATGTACATCTCGCTAAAATGAAGAATTGGACCGAAAGTTTGTCCCATTTTTCTTCAAATGTTTATTATCTTTTGTTGTTGTCGGCCTCTCCTCCACCACCCACTACCCATTCCCCGCCTCTTTCCCCACCCTAATTCAAGACGACTACGACTCGCTCACTCCGTGCGACGAAATTTCAAACAAATAGCCGCGCCGTAAGCAGCATCAACGAACAATAATAACGAGTTAAATGATAACACGGCCAACAAAAATCGCTTGCAATAATTATTTAATTCGCCGTTTCACTTAGCTGAAAAACGTGCTTGCTCATTACGTATTCTTCGAGAAGCTTATGACCTTTTTCCCGTCAATTATTGATATGTGTGAATAATAGTTGGTGGAGTAGTCGTAGTAACTTCCTTCCGGGTATTACATCGCTGATACTCCATTATACTTGCCGAGGTATGTCCGCCTTTCATTATTTATTTGTATTGATCGCGGAAGCTTAGGGAATAATTTATGCTTTATTATACGCCAAGTCGTTGCGTTTAATGTGAAAATAATAGAAAGCCAGTGGACAGTGAATACAAATTTTAATAAAAGATTGATATGAGAAAATAATTTCTGACTATTTCGTAATGCCATCGATGAGAGGTGGCGTAGTTCTATGAACTTTAAATAATCGAAAGTTGATGCGCCACATAAAAAAGGATGGATATGCCGCTTGACATTGGAGTCTTATAATTTTCATGAATTTTCCCAAAATATTCATACAACGGGATCGACAAGGTGCGCGACTGTTTGCTGTAAGTCCTTATTTGAAAAAGCGTATTAGAGCGTTCAAATTGAGAAAGATGAATAATGCATTTTGGAAACTTGAATAGAGAAAGAAATACATAGCTTGATAAATAGGGCTAAAGGGTCGGTGCGTGGCGTTAGCATAAAGATGAGACATTTTTTTATGAATATGGTTTTACAAAATAGCTTGATAAATCGATTTAGGACCTCCTTTCATTTACCAAACCATATTTGCTCTTCTTACACACTTTTTTTCCCTTGCCTAAACTAAACATTTCATTTCCTTTTATAATATTTAATTCCATTACAATTAACATATTATCAGGGTAAGGTGTTTTCATTACATTGTTTCTTCTTTTCTTTTTTTTCTCTTCTATTTCTTTCTATCTTCTTCTTTTTCTGTTAATAATGTTTCCTTTAAATTTGCATAATGTCAGCCTTCTGGACAGTTTAAAATCAAAATTCCAAAAAATTTGTATGAGAACGGCTAGCTGCT